TCCGTCAGGACGCCGTCCGTCAGGACGCCAGCCGTCAGGCTGTAGGCTAGTAGGTTCGTCCGTCAGGACGCCGTCCGTCAGGACACCGTCCGTCAGGACGCCTGTACTCTAGTCTAGGTCCATCAGATCATCACTCGTCCGTCAGGACGCCGACCGTGAGGTCGTAAGCCTGTAGGGTACTTCAGTACTTCAGTGAATCCCCAGTCAGTAGGTCAACCCCGTTAGGTCCATCCCGGATTATTTTCACGTGTAGTCGTAGCCCCACGGACCCGCCCAGGCCAGTGCGCCGGCTCCTCTCCTCGATGACCGGGCCAAGGACCGAGGGTTTAGGGTTTTGGGTTTAGGGCTTAGGGTTTTAGGGTTTGAAGTTTAGGGTTTAAAGTTTAGTGTTTAGGGTTTAGGGTTTGAAGTTTAGGGCTTAAAGTTTAGTGTTTAGGGTTTAGTAAGGGTTTAGGGTCAGGGTTCAGGGTTCGGGGCTCAGGGTTCAGGGTCAAGGGTTATTTAAGGCTCTAGGGTTAGTCAGGTTTAGGGTTTGGGGTTTGGGGTTTAGGGTTCAGGCTTGGGGTTTGGAGTTTAAACTTATTTAGGGTAATTTAGGGATTAGGGTTTGAAGTTAGTGTTTCGGGTTTAAAGTTTAGGGTGTAGTATAGGGTTTAGGGTTTAGGGTTTATTTGAGAAGCAGAAGTTGAGCCATCTGGTTATTTGCACCGATAGCCCAAAACCCTAAACCCTCATTTAAAGCCTTAGCCTTAAACCCTATACCCGAGCCCAGTCAACATAAATTATGTCATGAGTTCCAAGGCCCACTTGGCTCCCAGGTCCTTCTGGAGTAGCCTTTTCACAAAGTTTCACACCTGGCCCTTCCGTGACCATGGTAAAGGACTCCGGGAAGCCCAAGAAAGGTGCTCACTCCGAGTACTGGCGGCGGGTCCGTCTTTTGGGAGTCGCTGGGATTGTATATTAGCACTATTCTGACCGAGGTGTTCAAACTATGTTGACTTGTGCTTCTTTCTCTGAGACTTTTTGAAAAATCAGCGGCAAGGACGTCTCCTCAGGTAAAATCCATTGCGAAATGTTATGTTATTTAGTTAGTCGAGCATTCATGATCCGTGCCTTAGGAGGATGAGGCGAACCGCCAATGGTATTTGCGCTTTGGGTCCGTCCAGGAGAAGGCCAGCGCAAAGGCCGCAGCGCCCGTCCGGCCACCAAAGGCCGCTGCTAAGCCGGTCCAGCCCCCGCAGTATCATCCACCACCAGGGGTCCCTCCGACCCCCTTTGGGTCCAACACCCGGCCACCAAAAGCCTCTGCCCAGCCCTTCCAGCCCCCGCAGTATCCAGCAGCAGCGGCCCCTCCCCCCGAGCAGCCGGCCGCGGCCCCTCCCGTCCCACCCATCCAGATCATAGCCCCTCCCCCGCAGACCATCCAGGTCAGTCACACGGAGCTTTAGCCAAATGATGTACTAACATAACATTTGCCTGGTAGAACAATTATTAGGTCCGATTGTTGTTTTCTGAGAAAGCCACAAACACCAAGGACACAAGCTTGATCCTGGGCATGGCCTCTCAGTTCATGTGCCTGTGAAAACGTTAGCATTGTAGCCTTTTTTAGTAGTAGCCTAGTAGATCAGTCAAGAGACTGCCATGTAAAACTAATAATAATGTGGGAAGCAATGAATTCTGCAGACGAAGGACGGACGCTGCCAAAAACATGCGAACTGCGGAGGAACGCAGAGCGGAGGAGGCACGGCGGTCCCTCAGCAACAACGCCAAGGAGGCCCAGCTCGCGGCGCAGGAGGAGATCGTCAAGGCCCGTCTCAAGGCTGCGGACATCATTGCTGAGGCCATGAGGCAGGCCCAGGCCACTTGAGCTGGAGACGTTAATTATGTCTTTTATTATGGTTTAGTTTTTAAAATTTTAGGGGGGTGACTTGGCAACTACTTACTTGGGGGCTGGCTGAGAATAAGTGTGTTAATAAAATCCAATGCATAGGCTTAAGAGCCGGTTCTTTTGAAATTTTGCCTGCCCAGGCACTGACCGGTTCTTCCGCAGCCAAGTCAGCCGGTCCTCCTGCCAAGGACCCTCCGCCAGCCAAAGCAGCTGCTCCCAGCCCCGCCAAGAGCAATCCCAAGGCCAAGCCCGCCCCTCCCAGTCCCAGTTCTTCGGACTCTTCTGCAAGCGGTTCCTCAGCAGCGAAGACGAGAAACGCCAGGCTCCGGAAGAAACTGAAGAAGGCAGCCAAGAAGGCGAAGAAGGAGGCGGAGAGCCGGAAAAGGGGGGGTGGTGGTGGTGGAGGATCAGAAGGCCCATCCAACAAGGGCAAGCGCAGCCGGGCTTGAAGCATGGGGTCAAGTAGGTCCTTCGATACTGAGTATTCATTTAATAATAATAAGTCTAAAACAAGTAGAATAAAATTCCGGCTTGGCTCTTCCGCGAAAGCCCTCGCTTCGAAGCCTGGTTGCTGGCGCTTCCTTTTTAGGGCCTTTCACCAGCCTCGCGGAGCCTCGTGACGCCTGAGAAAAAGCTTCCACATGCCCGAAGCCAAGGCTATTTAATTTAACATGATGCCATGAGCCCTAAGTAACACCTAAATAACCCTAAACAAACACTGCCAAAAGCCCCGAAGCCTAGCCCTAAGGCCCACTAAATAAACCCGAAACCCTCCCCTAAGGAACTACGACTGCAGTGTTCAGGGAGTTCTGGGATGATTCATTCACATTACATTGTCCTCTCCAAACGTCACTCTTGTTCTTGGTCATTGGTTTGTCTTGTGGGATCTCAAACTACTACCTGGCCCCGCGAGGATGGCGATTTGGGCGGCTCTTCCGGGTGCAAGGCTAAGCTTCCCAGTGAGTGAATGCGACATGCCAGACAAGTCCAGCAGGATTCATGCGACCTAACTAACTTGACTCGTGAGTCCTTCCCGCAGGTCCCTCCAGCCGATGGCCCCGCTTTCTACAGCTGCTTCCACGGAGGCTCTCTCAGTGCTTGAGTCAGTAGCTACAGGTTCCTCTCGTGGGCGTTTGCAGTCGTAGGTCTGACAGAGTTTCCAAGTGTCAAGTTCAAGTGCTGAGCACGGACTTTTGTGAATCTGCAGCATTTTCCGAGGGCAGGAGCTTGCGTGGAACATTCGTGTAGGATATTATATTCAAGGATTTGGTGGGTCCATTGTCCATCAGTGCATGACTTGTCACTACTGGTCCTCGCGACACTGCCTTTGCTTCAATGGCGGTCCCTCAGTCTACTTTGGTGGAGATCACAAGTTTCGGAGACAACCCAGACACGGCGACGGCCCCTCCAGTGACTCCAGCGGCCCCTCCTACAGAAGCGACCGGAGCCACTTGATTGCGTGGCCGTGGTTTGCTGTCACTGTTCGGTTTCTGTTCCGGTGCTCCGGTCCTGTTCGAACTATACTAAGGCTGCCAGCACCACTACGGCTCCTCCTGCTGGGAACGCCTTTGTGAACTGGCCCCCGGACGAGCCTGGTGCCAAAGGCAGGGCAGGCATTTTGTTTTGCCGTCACGGCACATTCATCACTCCTGTTTGTGCACCTCTCCGTCCCTGCAGAACGTCGGGCTCATCTCACGGAAGCGGAGGAAGCGGCCCTTCGGTTGCAGAAGCGAAGTGGTAGTGGTAGTGGTAGTGTAGTAGTAGTAGTAGTAGTAGTAGTAGTAGTAGTAGTAGTAGCAGTAGTAGTAGTAGTAGTAGTAGTAGTAGTAGTAGCAGTAGTAGTAGTAGTAGTAGTAGTAGCAGTAGTGGTAGTGGTGTAGTGGTACTGTGCTAGGGGTAGTGGTAGTGGTAGTGGTAGTGGTAGTGGTAGTAGTGGTAGTGGTAGTGGTAGTGGTACTGTTAGTGCTCTAAAATACTGTTTGTGCTTGATTCTGCACAGGCCCTTCCTCAGACATGAACCGAGGCCCGTCTATGCATTCGGCAGAAGTATCCGGAGGTGTACTGGGCCCTTCTGAAGTTAAACTGCGACTTCGAGGCCATGGTCGTGTCCTGTCTGCAGGATTTATAATTTTCATGGCTTCCGAGGTGTCAGTGCGACATGGCATTTAATCAGTTTGGACGATTGTCAATTGTGAATCTACGAAGGATCTGTACAACCTCTTGGAGTACTCTGACAAGGGTCACTCCACGGGTCGGTCCTTCGTGAACAGGATGGTCCGTTTCTTGACAAGCAATGATACCTTCTAAGACGATCCCAAAAACATCGCAGCCTGTGACTCAGTCAGTGCCTGGCCCTTCAACTTAGGTCAGATCTTGGCAAAGTCCGGGAAGGCAGAGTGCCGGCACGAAAACATGAGAATATGGAAGTACCCCGAGAACGTCGTGACGGTCCATTGCAGGAAAAGCTTGGAGGCCCTTCGCATCTCAGCTGCAATTCCATTGGCAATGCAGCAGATTTCTTTACTTACCTCCATGGTCCATGTAAAGTTTTGCTTGCAACTCAGAAGAAGACGTGTTGAAGTGGTGGGAGGAGGACCCGGAGGAGGAGGCCCGTCCTAAATGGTGGGACAAGCAGAAAAGGCCCGGCTCCTCCAAAGACGGTGACAAGCCCGGTTCCTCCAAAGACGGTGGTGCATCCAAAGACAAGATGCAGAGTGCCGGTTGGGCCTATGTGCCACCACCTCCCCCCGAGCCGGCCCCTCCACCAACCGCAGACCCTTGGGACCCCGCAGACGTTGGCGCAGGTGCTTCTTCTTCTGTCCCCACCGCAGACCCTGGCCCAGGCTCGTCTGTCCCCACCACTGTCCCTGCCCCAGGTTCTTCTGCTTGCGGAGCCACGGTACTTCAAGGGATCCCAGCGTCCATGATGCCCGACGGCCCTTCTTTGCCCACCCCAGCCATGAAGGCCCAGGCTGACGCCCAGGCCCAGGCCCAGGCCCAGGCCCAGGCCCATCCCCAGCCCAAGGCCCGTCCCCAGACCCAGGCCCAGCCCCAGGCCCAGCCCCAGCCCCAGGCCCAGACCCAGGCAGGCTTCGTTGCAGACCTGGCTGACATGCGGGAGAAGGCGGCCCATCGCCGGGGCCAGTTGCTGCAGCCCCAAACTGAGCCGTTTTTGGTCGCGGAGACACAGGTCGGCCCTTCCACTGCGGAAGCCACAGCACCATCGACACAGGGCCCTTCCCTTGAGCCAGCCACAGCACCAGCACCAGCCACGGGCCCTTGCCACGTTGAGGTAAAGGCCCCTCCACCACAACCGCCCCAGACTGAGGCTCCATCAACTGAGGCTGCGGCAGCTGCCACGACTGCGGCTGCTCCGACAACGGCGGCCCCTCCGACAGTGACCTCTGACCCCACGGCCGTTGCGCAGCAGACCCCTCAGGAGGAGGTCCCTCAAGACGGAGATTGGAACAGTGGAGGATGGTCCTGGTGGCAGGGCTGGTCGTGGCAGCAGGATGCTCAGTGTGCTGCCTCGTTTAAACACAGATGTTCGTTAGAGTGGTCTTGTGAGAGTCGAGACTGGAGTGCTGGTTTGTTCTTGCATTCTCAGGTGAAGGTCCTTCTGAGACAACGAGCCCTGTTTTAGCCAACGGCATCGTCTTCGAGCTCGCCGGGTTCGTCGGAAGTGATCAGGCTGTCAATGAGTTTTGGTTCCTGGCCAGCCACAACAACGTGGCAACATAAGAGCCTGAGGCCCTTCTTAGCTGCACAGCTCGCAGGCCTCTCCTTCAACAAGTGAAAAAAAGGAGTGCTGCGCCTGAGTGCTTGGGTTTTTTAACGATTCACGTCCACGATTGGATGCAGTGTCCGTCCTTTCCCCTGTCTGTCAGGCTGCCCGGCTGCTGCAGCGGCTCTTCCCGCAGACTTCCCAGTGTGTCGGAGAGTCAAGTTAGTCATTACTCCATTCCTCATGTCAAGGACAGTCTGCAAAAAATGTTGCAGACGGTGTCGTGTTGGAATTCTCCCGGCCCAGGTTCTTCACGCAGCAGGAGTCGACGAAGCAGACAGCCACTGAGTGAGGTCATGATGCCACGGAGTGGTGGCGCCAGAAGTGACGGAGGTTGTTGCCACGACCCGCGGCAACCACCTCCAGCACTTCTGACGCTCCCACTCGGTGGTATCATCACCCACAATGCGAGGCAGGCGACACTTTCTTTCAGTCCGTGACAAAGCACGTTCTTCTCGACTCATGGACAGTCCATTAGAAAGTCGAGTTAGTAGGTCGAACCTGAAAGATAATTGCCAGGAGAAGCGCCGTGATGGTGCATGGCCCTGGACTGAAGCACGGCCCTCGTGAAGGCATGTGTCAGTAGGGTATTCCACAGCTGTAAGGCTTCTCAGTAGGATCCATGAAACTAAACATTTGAGTATGAATTATAGCGCATCGTATGCAACGGATGCATGACCTCAACGTTCAGGTCCCTCTACCGGACATGCGCCGCCACGGCGCTTTGCACAAGATGCGCCGGCACGGCGCTTGGTCCTTGTGTGGTCTTATGCTTGTTTTTTACTAATACAATGAAAATTAAACATGTCCTTTAAAAAAATACGCTATCTAATGTATTGCCATTTTAAACAGCATCGGGGGGAATGCGGCGTCACGGCGCTGAGGGCCCCATGAGCCTGCTGAATATTGCTATTCCTGTTTTTTAAATCATTAAACGGTATAGATAGAGTGGCACTCCTTGACGTTTTCATCCAGGTAGTATATTTTGAATTAGAATACATCATATACAACGGATGCATGACCTCAACGTTCAGGTCCCTCTACTGCACATGCGCCGCCACGGCGCTTTGAACAAGATGCACCGGCACGGCGCTTGGTCCTTACAGGTTGATCGTCTTCTTGTTTTTCTACTAATAAAACCAAGACTAAACATGTTTGTCTTGTAAATACATTGTTTTGCCATTTGTATAAGGCATTAAATATGCCGTGGCACTGTGCAGATCCCTTTACCCCGTGAGCCTGCTGATTGCTATTCCTGTTTTAACCAGACAAAGTTCTAAATTGAGATTTCGAAATAGAGTGGGTTACCCTTTGCGTCTTGCGCCGTCACGGTGCAATGCCGGCCATGCGCCGTCGCGGCGCATTGCAATTCATTCGTTTTAGTACCGGTGTCTCTCTATGAACATTCTTACTTGACAGAAATTGTTTGATTCATTCTGTTTGTTACAAAATATATACCAGTTAATTAATTGCATTGAAGAGTCACAAAGCCTCTTTGAATGAGGTTGTTCTTGGACTCATGCGCTGTCACGGCGCATGTTCTCTGATGCGGCGGCCCGGTGCTTGGTGGGTATGGTGCATAAGTGTAGATAGAGCAATCGTTCCAGACAGCTTACGTGCAGGTTTGCATTCTTGGAAGTCAAAGTGCTTGCTTTGATGGCTTGCGAGTCACGTCGTTCAGCTTAAGAAACTCAGGTTCTTCCACCCAGCCTCTGCCTCAGCAATCGAGCTGGATCCTCAGTCGAGAGACGGACCTTCCAGGAATACAGGAAAACATTGACTCATGCGCATGAATCACAGTGATGTTTGATGATGAGCCCAAGTGCTCAAAGAGAACCTCCGCCCTTCGGGCTTTGATTTGTAGTGGTTGATGGAGGACGCTCCGGCAATGAAGCCCTTCCTCGGTTGGGCGGAGGTGGTATTGAGCAGCGTGAGCAAGGACTTTCCGGACTGGCAGCGGTCCTTCCTGGGTCACAGATCCACGTACTTTACGTGTTGCTCTGGTTTGGGCACTGCCGAAATCGCTTGCAAGCAGATTCGTGAAGCATCGGCAAAGGTCTTTCCGAAGCCCGTGCGGCTCATCTGTCGTTATGCAATGGATCCGGACCCCGATTGCCAAAGGGCTTTGCTTTTGCAGGACACGGGGCATCTTTGGTCCTCCATTTATGACTTCTTCCCAGAAAGCAAGAAGCAGAAGACAGGAGGTAATGCGGAAAGCAAGGTCCGTCACTTCTGCGACAGCTTCGACGCACGTAACGGCTCATCTTGCGAACGCCATGCTGGTTGCCGGTGTGTTCCTAAACGCACCCATGGCAGCATCTGTGGCAGTCCCTGCCAGCCATGGTCCCGCATGGGAGCCAAGCGAGGCCAGGGAGCATGACTTTGAGTCAGATATCATAAGATGTTGATATCAAGTCAATAGTTACATCCACCGCCGGCCCCCTGCAGGAATCGATGATCCCAGAACCAACGTCCTCTTTGGCTGGCTTGCAATGGTCAAGCAGCACCGGCTCTTCTGGGCCCTGCATGAGAATGTATGGGGATTTCCGAGTTTCGACTTGAATATTCAAGGTGGGTTGCCGTGTATAGGTCCAAGTTGTCACAAGTACTACTAGAGCCTTCGCTGGAAGCCCTGGCCCAGGATGGAGATGCTCGATGCAGCGTTGCCGGAGTTTCAGGTTTTTCACTTGAAAGGGAGCCCTGCTGACTGGGGTCACATTGGAATGGCCCGCCCACGTGTGTGGTCCATCGTGTACCATCGGGAGAAGGTAGAGGTGCTCTTCAATCCAGGCGAGGTCTATCAGATCCTCTGCTGCACCCTACGCAAAGGCTTGGGGAGCCTTCCTGCGTCCATCTTCTGGCAGCACACGCCGCCTGCTGACGTGGTCGCGATGGAGAACAGTATCAGGGAGCAGCGGCAGCTGGCAGCCCTGAGCTCTGGCCCATCAGATGACTGGTCCTACCTGCTGACAGAGAGCCAGCAGAGGCACAGCAAGCGTGTGAGTCCAGGTAAGGTCTGCAGCTTTTTTTAAATAGGTTTTCTGAGTGCAGCTCTCGTGGGACAATGTCTGTGAATGGCAGGCACTTGAGTGGTTATGAAGCGAAGTGGAGACAGCTTCATGGTGGTCCTTCTGATCTCGACGACGGCTGTGTCTTCGACCTGAGCCAGAATCCTGAGCACTGCTGTCTTTGGACGTCACGACACGGGTCCCTCCCGACCTTCCGGCGCAATAGTAAGCTATGGGTTCCGTGTTTGAAACGATTCCTCTTGCCGCGTGAGGCGGCCCTTCTCATGGGCTTCAGCGGCCCATCTTTGCAGCACGTGCATCAAAACAATGTCGGGAATGCGATGAGCTTGCAGACGGTGGGTCTGATGATTCTGGCTGCTCTTTTAAGTGCGGCCCCTCTCCCCAGGGCAGCTCCAGGCCCGGAAGTGCCTGGAGCTGCCCACGTGACTGCGGTGAAGAATTAAAAAGAAACTGCTTCGTTTTCTGTCGTGCACAAGTCATGGTCAGTCATTGACACAAGAGAAACTTTGAAACGTGCCTTGCTCGACTTTTACTTTGCTCCGCCCAGGTGGTCAGTCCATCAAGCGCCTCACTTCGGGCTGCTCCACGGCATTGCCATGGATTTGTTTACTTGGCGGTTTCCCGCTTCATGGGTGGGGGCAGTTCGCAACGAGCATGTGGCGGGTTCGCAATGGAGGCTTCCGGGGTTCGTATGCAGGCCGGGCGGGGTTCGCCACTAACCCTGCCGAGTTCGTAGCCGGAGGGTTCGTCGAAGCCCGGGTTCCTTTTGATTTTCAATTCAAAGCCAGGGTTCGCAGAACCCTGGCTTGGGTTCGTGGAACCATCTGTTTGGGTTCGTGGCAGGGTTCGTGCTAAGCTTCCTGTTTGCTGTCTTTGGGGTTCGTGCGCGGGTTCGTGGACACACGGTTCGCAGATCTTCGTTTGCTGCTCCTGGCTAGTTCCATACTGTATTGTTTGTCAGTCACTCGTAAGTGGCCCCAAACCATTGATGAGGCAAGTCAGGCTTCCAGTTAAGGCAGCTGCGGCCCAGGTCCCTCTCAGGAATCCTGACGAATGCGTCTGCTCGTGCTGGACAAAGACGAGGCCTTTGAATTGGTTGAGGTTCTTGCAGGTCGAATGAAAATAGCCTGAGACCCACCCCCCCCCCCCCCCCCCAAGCAAGAAAAAGTCCGCAAGCTGAAGCATTGTTGCCCCAAACCCAACCCTGATTCGATGCCTCAACCCTTGGAAAAACTCCAAAGAATCAATTTGTTTTTTGGGTCTTCCTTTGGGTTCTTCATTCCTATCTGCTGTGTGACAGCTTGAGTCTATGAGACAGCAGCACCGACTTGAGAGTGGTAGGCCAATGCACTACGTTCAGTTCATTCAAATTCTTCAGTTTCTTTCATGAAAGTAATTTGTAATAGATGCATTGTAAGGAAATCTCATTAGCAGGCCTCTCATTGCTGTGAGCATGGCCCGCCAGCCTCCTAACCCACTCGTCGAGAAGTGCAAGGAAGTCCCTCACTTGGAGCACCTTGAGTTGCTCTTCTATGAAGACGACCAGAAAGGCTTGCTTCGGCACAAGACGACTGGGGAGGTGGTCCGTCTACCAAACGCCTTTCTGGGACTCCACTTTAACGAGCATGGCATGGCCTATCTGGAGATTGATGGGGCTGCGCCGATGTGGGCAAGCAGCTTGCTGAAGCATCATTTGTTCGAGGATGAACGGTCCTGCAAGTCGGAGGAGTTGCTGGAGAGGCTCTTCGTTGTCAGGAAGAGTCAGGCGGCCAATGATGGTCTTTCCCTGGAATGGTTGCAGGACCATCGTAGATCCCACAGCCTTCTGTATCCCCAGGACACGATGCGTGGTGCTTTCGAGGAGAGACCTTTGACACTTCTGTGCTTCCAGTGGGTTCCTCAGCACGAGTGCCAGTGCTACTGGCTGCTTCGGGCATTGACAAACGTGAAGAAGAAGGTTCTTCTCAAGAAGCTGCGTAAATCCTGGATCCCGGCTTTCAATGCCCGCAAAGTGGCGGGCTCCACGGACCATAAGACTCAGGGGCGTGACGACATAGTTTGGCCCGAAAGCGCGGCCGTTCCCGATGACAGGGACACGCGTCAAGGACATGATGCTTTCGTTTCTACCAGGTTCATGGTCTTCCTCATGGTCCTTCTCACGAAGCATTACCGGCATTGCAAGGAGTGGCTGAAGCTGGTCTTCGAGCAACTGCTGCCGAAACGTGTGAAGCTGCGTGTGAACAACAGCGCCCAATCGGTGCGGGTTCGTCATTGCCTTGTGGACCTCGGGGAGGTGACCCAGCGCTCTGCGTACAAGGAGCGAATGCGGCACTGCAAAAGGCAGGTGCCTCTCAGGTTGCGACAAAAGCTGCGGCTGGAGGAGGTCCTTCATGCACTCTGGCCCTTGAAGGACTTAAGATGGCTGCTGTGGGACCTGATAGATGGGGTCTCTAGGGAGTTGGAGATCGGGGTCCATCTCTCTCAATTTCACAAAGCGCCAGCAGACAAGGATGCCTTTGTCCAATCAGAGGCGGACATGCGGGACCCTCTGGTCCGTCAGAAGAGAATGGAGGCCGCTCTTGGCAAAGCCTGGAATGCCAACAAAAGAAAGGGCAGCAAGGCCCCTCAAACGGAGGCGCAGCGGACACGGCTCCGCATGCAGGCCGAGGCGGCCCGACGCTTCACAAAGACGCTGCAGAGGAAGAAAGAGCGGAGCAGGTACCTCCTTTCCGCACGACGGCTCTTCAACAACGCTCACTTCGTCCACGTGGGCTTGGACGGCGGAAGAGCTGGCGGACGCAAGCGCTGGCTGTACTGTGTGCTGGATGCGGACACCGGGGTTTCTGCATGGGCTCCTCCTCTGCGGTTCCAAGATGGCGGGTACCGTCCCCCTGACTCTGATAAAGGTCCCTCTGCTGCAGAGCAGAAGAGATTGGATGCCAGCAGCTTGCGGTTCCTCGACAGCTTGAAACTCATAGAGGCCACTGCTCCCACAACGGCCCAGCCCGTAGTTGCCAAGCAGACCCGTGGTCCTTCCTATGAGCAAGTGGTGGGCCTCGACCAGACGTTGAAGTGCATGTTTCCTGCTTTGGAGGAGGGTCTTGGGTCCTTCTCGAAGCCAGCTGGGGACAGAGACTTGAGGCTCCTTCCTACCTTGGTCGTGACGTCGGATGCTGGACCGGACCTTCAAAGTGCGTTGCAGTTTCTGCAAAATGGTCTTTCTGTCCGCATGGTCCATCTATGGGAGCCACGGCACAGATTAGCGCGAGAGCTGGAGAACAGCATCGCGCACACGGTCCATCTGAAGTCCTCGCTGGGCGTCGCAGAGATGATCCTGAACTTTTCCCGTGGTCCATGGTCTGGTCATCGCTGGTTTCGGGTCCTCCAGGCTGGGCTTCTTGTCAGTCAGGTATTCCGATCCATTAACTCATAATAAGTACGAAAAAAACACATCCAAATGCAAAGAGAGACTGAGAGTGAGAGAGAGAGAGAGAGAGAGAGAGAGAGAGAGAGAGTGGTGCTAAGTAAGTCGGGAATTCTGAGGAGGAGTGCGTGGACTTTGTGTTGATGTTGGAGGCAAGTGGAACGCCTGAGTCGTCGGCCCTTCTGCACTATTTCCGACCCAGAATTGCCCGTGACCTGGGCTGGAGTGAGGCGGAAACCACCATGGAGCAGTGCCAGGCCCGTCTTCGAGAATGTCGGTTCCTTCATGCGCGAGGTCCTTCCACCACATCCCGGTGGGACAACTTCCACCAAGGATGGAAGTCCCTTCGTCCGGAATTGTCCCTCCTCAGCCTGTTGCTCATCTCCTATGGTGTGAAAATGGGTTTCTTGGGAGGGAAGATGAGCCAGACACGGAACCCCGGTCCATCCATAGAGGCCCCCGAGGAGGACCAGGCGGGGACGATGAAGGGGGAGACTCGACAGAAGCTCTGGGCACGCTGCTCGAACAAGCTGCACTGTGTTTGCATGGCCCTTGTTAACGAGGGCCTTCGCTTCGACCTGGATGCATGGTTCTTCCTGTCGCTTCCACAGTCTGAGGCCCTTCACACGCTCCGAACAGAACTGCAGAGCGGTCCCTGTGGAGCTTTCAAGGCTCAGATGTCGGAATCAGAAGGCGCGGCGCTGGACATTTGCAACCGCATCCTGGAGCAGATGAACTCACCTGACGTGTGGTCCTTCCTTGGCCTGTGGTCTGGAGGTCAGCTGCTGGGAGGGTTCGCTCGCCAGATGGACCTGGCCCATCCTGAAGTCCGGCGCCAGTCGGCCCTGAGAAAGAGAATGCTAGACATGATGCTAGCCCTTCTGCAGCAGAAGCTTCTCTACGCTTCGGTTCCTCTGTTTTCATATCCTCAGCGACTGGTCCTTCTCGCGTCCCCATGTGAGGCCACAGCCAACGCAGCATTGGTTCATCTGTACCGCTCCTATTCCGCGCACCAGATTGCGTGCAGGACCAATTCCAAGTGGTGCAAAGCGTACGTGAGGCGCTCGCCCTTCCAATTGCAAGTGATGAAGGATGTGACGGCAGCCCTTCAGCGTGCAAATTGGACCATCAGCAAGGAGGTCACAGGCTGGGTGACCAAGGTTTTTTCTGGGTTTGGTGCGACGTGGAACGAGGAGGCGTTTGGAAAGGCCCGTCAAAAAGAGGAAACAGACAACCAGGCCCATGAAATGGCGGACAACGATCTCTGGCAGACGTTGTCGTTCTCTCGGGTCCTTCCCGCTGCAGGCTTGAAGGAGGTGGAGATTCGCGAGGATGTTCCCGACATCACCTGGCCGGCGTCCCTCTTCCACATCCAGCGACGCCAGGCAAACGAGCGTCTACGCAGAATCACAGGCCCCGCGACTTGGAGCAGCATGACGCAACAGAGCCTTGCCAGCGCTGCCTGTGAGTTGGCCCTTCTCTGCGACGCGGTGGAGTCCAACAAGGTCCATCTCTTGTGACTCGTCTTTTCTGCAACGCTCTGCCACTTTATTTTCAGTGTCCTTCCTAAATCCTTGGTTCTATTAATCCCCAGCAGCGGCGAAGAGAGGGAGGGGAGAGGGGAGAGCGGAGAGGGGAGGGGAGAGGGAAGGGGAGAGGGGAGAGCAGAGGGGAGAAAGGGGAGAGGGGAGAGGGGGGAGAGGGGAGAGGGGGGAGAGGGGACAGGGGACAGGGGACAGGGGACAGGGGACAGGGGAAGGAGGGAAAGGGGAGAGGGAGAGGGAGAGGGATAGGGAGGGAGAGGGAGAGAGACGAGACAGAGAGAGAGAGAGAGAGAGAGAGAGAGACAGAGACAGAGACAGAGACAGAGACAGAGACAGAGACAGAGACAGAGACAGAGACAGAGACAGCGACAGAGACAGAGACAGAGACAGAGACAGAGACAGAGACAGAGACAGAGACAGAGACAGAGACAGAGACAGAGACAGAGACAGAGACAGAGACAGAGAGAGAGAGAGAGAAGAGAGAGAGGAAAGAGAGAAAAAAACAGAAAGAGAGAAAGAGAGAGAGCGAGAGAGACAGTAAGATAGGTAAGGTCAGAAGAGAGAGAGACAGAAAGAGGGAGAGAGAGAGAGAGAGAGAGAGAATCGAGAGAGAGAGAGAGAAAGAGCGAGAGAGAGAGAGAGAGAGAGAGAGAGAAAGAGAGAAAGAGAGAAAGAGAGAAAGAGAGAAAGAGAGAGAGAGAATGAGAGAGATAGCTGAGAGATTGAAAGAGAATGGAAGAGAGCGGGAGAAGAGAGAGAGAGAGAGAGAGAGAGAGAGAGAGAGAGAGAGAGATAGAGAGAGCACGAGCGATGGCAGCGGAAAAGAGTGTAGTTGAATTAAATAACGGCTCAGTGCCGAGGTCCGAGTCATGGCGGAGCGCGATGTTGACCATGGGCCTTCTCGTGCGACACAAGTCTTGGAGCAAGCCGAGATTGAGCATGGGCGCCTGGCCGAGCAATGCCGGCGTCTTGACCATGGAGGTCCATCAGACTGCACATGGTGGCTGGCAGGCCCGGGGGTGGAACATTGGGCAGACTAAATTGGGCATGGCAATTTTTTTGAAACTTAACTGAACGGCCCCTGGCATAGGTCCTTCCTGTGACCGCCGAGAGGCTTCATTGGGTGCAGGTGTGTATATTCGATGAGTGGTCCGTCCAGCCTGCCTCGGCGATAAGTCCTTTGGAACATTCGGTCCGAACAAAGGACACATCCGAGCACGAGGTCCCTCTTTTGTGGCCAAGTGGGTCTGAGAAAGACATTCTGGAGTATTGCGCCGAGAGGGGGTTCCCGAATGTATCGATGACGGTCCTGAAACTGCTGTTGAAGGAGGAGTTCGGGCAGGACATGGGTTCCTCGGATGAGTCTTTGGTGGGGGACCTTCTCCTGTCAGGAATCAAATGCGTGTTGGGTCCATCCGATGAGAAAGCGGCGGATGCGCTGGAGCTCGCATTGCATGAGCGTGAAAAAGACGATGCAGAGCTTTTGGACCTTCTCCAGAACCCCCTGTTCAACGAGGTCCTTCAGTCAAAGCAGGACCAACAAAAACTGGAGCAGGCAATCAAGGAAGCCCAGGCCAGTCAGAGGCAGGTCCTCTCAATCACAAGGTCCATCCAGCGGCTGCGGCCTGCTGGGAAGAAGAAGGTCAAGCGCAAGGCTGTCCGGTTCCCGGGAGATGAAGCATGGCCTGCTGAGGTTCTTCAGCGTTTCGCACCTGCCGAGTACCGCATGTACAGGGACGAGTTCAACAAATGCATCAGGGCCTTCCATAAAAGCTACAATTGGAGTCTATCGAGGTCGTGGGGCAGATGTGGCAAAGAAAGCGTTCCAGCACGGTTGGTGCTTCGCGGCGTATGGACACGCCATGAGGCACTTCATCCGAACGACCCCTGCCCCTGGGACTTTCTTGATGATTGAAATTCGAGCGCCAGGGTCCATCCAGTAGGCCCTCGACGAGATTCATAAAAGTTAGTATAGTAGAGTAACGTTTAGTATCCTGAATTTGTACTGTCACTGATCAGTTCCGTCTTACTGTGTGGGGCCATCCGGCAGTCTGCCGCTATTGAAAAGTGTTTCAATTTGGAGCCGGCCTTCGAACTTCAAGAGGCCAGGAAAAAAAGTACCGTGCGTGGTCAGCACAGACGAGGTGATGATGTAATGTAGAACTGCAGCAGGACCCACGCCAAGCCCACAGACGATGAAGAAACACATATATATATATATATACATTTATATGTAGAATTCATAATAATAAGTTAAAGGTCAACTTGGAAACCTTACCTCGTGTTCTCCGCCGGCAGGTCCTTCGAACCCGCCTCCGAACTCCGCCACGGACTCAGCTATGGTTCTTCTCATCGTTTCCAGTCTGATGTATGCAACTGCTTATCAAATTTAGGGATCCTTTAATGCGAGCGTGCCCTTCTCGCAGGTTCTTCCCCCGATGAATCGTCGCAGAAGGACATGGTTCTGCTGACTGCTGGCAGCTGAGATAAATGACGAAGATTGTTTCAAGCCGGAGCGGAAATCTGCGAAGCGCAGGTCTTTCATTGAAATCTTACTGCGCGCAGCTCTCGTGATCAAGCCTTCGTCCCTCGAAGTCAACTAACTGTCTGTGAGTAGTTGAACCGGTGGTCCTTCAGTGAGCAATGCCGAAGGCGATGAAGAAAGGTGTTGCGAGCAAGAAGATGGAGAAGAAGGTCCTTCTTAAGGAGGCCGCCGCGAAGAAGAATCTTCGCTGCGCAGCGAAGACGACGATGGCTGAGGGGGAGGAGGCCACGCTGGAAGAGATGATCCAATGGCTGCGGGCCCATCCAGCGCAGTGCTCCTCAATGTTGGCGTCCGTCAAGAAAGGGGTGTGGGATGGTTCCTCCAGCGACGACGAGGATGAGGACAGACTGGCTCCCTACATGAACAAGATCAGGCTCATCTCCAAGCCCAAGCTCTTGGACATCCTCTCCGACTTGCTCCCGCAGGCCCATCAATGGCTGAAGGTCCTTCCCCGAAAGACGAAGAAGGAGGAGCTGGCAGCGATCCTTGCGTTCCTTGTGCACATGAGTCCAACATCGGCCCTTCCGACAAAGATTTTGAGCCGGCTCCTCGAAGAGTTCAAGGAAAGATGGGCTGATTTTGGCAAGCGTGCCAAAGACTGGAGGCCCATCAGCGACAAGGTCCAGGACTGGAGTTACGTGACATGCATGGGCACTGACAGTCTGACAGACTAAATTATAAATGGCGAGTTTTCTTGTTACAGTTAAGTAATGATGAATCAAGTTGTCCTTCTGCTTTGTTGATGTGATCACGGTTAAGTAGCAACAGCAGGAGTTCTGGGACCATCATGCCTATTGGTCCATCGACATCAACTCGGACGCGACTGAGGGGTTCCTCTGCTACGGAGCTGGCGTCGACCCGACAGACAAGAAGAACAGGGTGGCTCTTCCTTCGGAGATTGTCTCTCATGCCACAACTGTGGAAAATGCGGGTTCCTTTGATGGTGCGATCATCAAGAAGGGGGCTTTGATGAGGAATGTGGTCCATCTGCTTTCGGAACTGGGCGAAGCGAACCGTTGGGTCCGTCCATTGTTCTTGAAGGAGGTCCCTGGTGGAGATGGGCAGCTCGGGAAGACGAAGAAGGCCCCTCCCGCTGAGGCGAGCAAGATCCGCAAGAAACGTGATGCTGACGGTGACGCCTTGCTCACGCCGCCCAGGAGGGTCCGGCAGAAGGGCAGCTCCGCGTCGAGCCCTTTGTCCTCAAAGGCCAGTAGCCATGCCTCACCGTCCCCGCACAAGATCAAGAAGAGGTTTGAGTCGCCGTCCATCAGCAAGAGTCGAGGCAAGCCATCAAAGATGCCCACTCCACCCAAAGGCAAGGGCGGTGTGCTGGATGTTGACGGCTCTTCCCGTTCCCCAAGCAAGCCCGCCAAGACCGGCTCCTCCCCAGCCAAGTCGAAGCCGAAGACCGGCTCCTCTCCTCTCAAGGAGGCTGCGAATAATAAGCAGCCGGGCTGCGTCACAGTGGACTAGTTTCCAGTGGTTTGTCATTTTGTCCTTCAGATTCATCCTCGCAGGTGTTATTGAATCAACCGAATTGTTAATATAATATTCTGAGTAGAGATCACATCTCCGGAGTAGGGTGGCCTGAGGACAAAGACATTTTGGCAGAGGACCTTCGCTTCACTTCAGTCAGTGCACGCGAGCGCTCCAGAGAACAAAAGCTAGGCATTGCATTCAGTCACTTTCTGGAAGCACACCATTGAAGTGTCACAGCTGGATGTTCTTGTGACGCTGAGGCACGGTCACCGACTCGCTGGGCCCGTCCGGGCGCCCGTGCCAGTGAGCCAGCAGTTTTGAGTCAGAGGTTTATCTTTGTTGCGCTGCTCTTGCTTTGTATTTGCTGGCAGCTTTCAGCGATTCTGTTTTGGCTTATTCAAAGGTTTCACTTCAATGCAGGAAGTACAGTAGTACAGTACAGACAGAGTCATTTTTTAATATTTTCTAATAAAAGTACATAATAGCTGAGTGCCATACTTCTTGACTTGAGGTTTTTCTTAGCCAGCCTAGTCCAGTGTCGGCGCACTGACTATTAAAATGGATGATGAGGATGATGATGAGTCAGAAGATGAGGCGGTGGTTCCTCAAGACTCACCCAAGGCCAAAGCCAAGGTCCGCAAGAACGTGTCGAAGTATGACTCAGAAATCGCGGACCTTCCTCCTGCTGAGCGCCGAAAAGCCTTGGCCAAGTTGTACGAAAGGAACCGGGCCAGTCGAAGGAAGAGGGTTAAGTCCAAGTACGAGGACCATCCCACGGTGAAGGCGGCCAAGACAGCAAAAGAGAGGCGAGCTGCCTTAAACAAGCTCTATGCCTCAAAAAAAAAAGGCCCTTCAGTCGACTGCGATGAGGCGGAGGCCCCTCCACTCCTCGATGCCGTGAAGGAAGAGAGGGTGAAGAAGGAGGTTGTCGTCAAACAGGAAACTGGTTTGCCTTGCGTCACTGGGGATGGGAGTTTTTTATTTAAAGGTTTTTGTCCTGCATCGATGAAAGCGACAAGAAATCAATTCAGGAGGAGTTTTCGGATGCAGAAGACGAGAACATCCCCATCCAGTGCCCCATGTGTGCAGAGCCTTTGCAGCAGCATCATCAGTTCAGGTCCCTCCCAACCACCCTTGCTACTCACCAGGGCTCATTCCTGCCCGCTCGGCTACTGCTCAGGAAGCTGCCCAAGCTCGTGCAGAAAGCGTGGCTTTGAGGGAGGAGCTCGGGTCCCTCCGCTCAGAGAAAGACGCCTTGGAGAAGAGCGCAGCAAACCTTCAAACTCGTCTCGCCATTGCTGAGCGCCAAGTGGTTTGGTACGAAAATGTTCGTGACTGGGTGAGTGCTGACATAGAGTCACGCCTGGGCCGTGGCCATGACTCTGAGGTCATTCCTGATTGGCTGGTCGTACAAGGTAGGTCCATTACGGAACTCATTGCTAAAAGCCGTGGTTCATCTTGCCGATAACCCAAGCAAGAATCTTCTCAACTATTCTTCAGGACTCAAATTCAGTGAGGCACCTTTCACGATCTTGTTGTGGGTCATCTGTAGTATTGTTTCAAGAGTATCGGGTTCTTCATACTCCCATCGATGGGGCCGGGCCATAAAAAGGAGCGTTGCAGTGCTTTGTCAGCCAGAAGTGAAACATTGTTTTTGCAGAGTTTCTCCTGCCCTTGGCAGGTACAGGGCCATTCCATTCGTCGATGCTGCAGATTTGTGGAAAAGAAGGGCTGCTCTTGTTTCTCTTGCGTTCCTGAGATTTGTGCAACAACCCGCCCGACCACTAACCCACCTCGAAACCCCGCAGGCTTCGCAGAAGTTCGCTGTGCCTTTTTGGGTTCGCAATAGGTTCGTCTCATTTTTGTGCTGGCCCCCCAAGTTACCGACCCCCTCTGTTTTACCCTCAGTATGGTTTAGAGGGTGTTTGGGGCTTGTGACCACGAAACCACATGGGGTTTTGGGCTTTTCGGGTTTGGGGTGTGTAGGGTTGATTGGGCTTGTGGAGCTTATCGCGTTTATAGGTCTATTCCTTGACTCAGTCCGAACACTTCAAACCCAAACCTTAAGAACCCTATACTACCCTATACCCTATCAAGCCTGAAGCCTGTAAACCCTCCATCTACAAACCTTCCAAGACCCCCAGTACCCTGCCCTAGAAAACCCTGTAAACCACCCCAAAACCCCCACGCCCCCCATCTGCCTAAACCCCAAACCCTAAACCCTAAACCCTAAACCCTAAACCCTAAACCCTAAACCCTAAACCCTAAACCCTAAACCCTAAACTCCCCAGGTTCGCAACCTCAGGGCGGCTTCGGCTGTGCGCTGGGACTGCCTGCTACAGGAGCCCGGGGATCTTTCAGCTGGGGCTTTCCGGGGTTGAGGTTGAGGGGTTGTAGGGGTTTTGGGGAGTTTAGGGTTTAGGAATAGGGTTTAGGGTTTAGGAATAGGGTTTAGGGTTTAGGAATAGTTTAGGGTTTAGGAATTTAGGGAGGTTAGGGAGTTTAGTATGGGGCGTGGGTTTGGGGACTTATCTTCGCACGATTGCTTTTTGCAGAGGGGGCGGGCTGAGGGGCGGCTGAAATTGGAGGTAGACGTAACCCCTAAACCGCCCATGACTTTTGCCGCACCATTGTCTCACAGGAGGTCAGACGACTGCGACTTGGCCACCAAGATCCGCCTTTTCATGTTTAGGCGTTTCGGATGTAGGGTTTAGGGTCTAGGATGTAGGTCCAAGATCCACCTCAGTGCCTAGAAATCATCATACACACTTCTTGTATGCTTCTACATCCCTGAAGAAGCAAGGAGGCATAAGTGTTCTGCAGCCCTCGTGTTCTGATTGTTCTTCTCATCGGTTGATAGGTTAAGCACAGCAGGTACCAACGGCCTTCGCAGGCGAGGGCACTCTTGTGGTCTGTGTATTGTTATGGAGCGCAAGGCGTTCGACCATCGAATTCAGGGCTCCAGGTGACGGATTTGGGCTCAGCTGAAACATGGCTTTGGGCTGTTTCACCCACTTCGCTTCATGGCTTCAGATTCACAGCTCCTCCGCCCCATCTCCTGTGTTCCAGCTGCGTTACGCTTGCGCCATGGGCAAGTCACGCAAGTCCAGCTCGAAATGGGGAGTGAAGTCCTTGGATGTCGAGTCACTAGCAGATGGCTTGTCGCTGGCAGACAGTCGACTGGAAGCTCCCAAGTTGATGGAGACCGGATGGAAGGCCGGACAGGTCTTTACCTCGGAAGATGATCCAGATCGAACGGAGTTGCCATGGGAACCTCCCAGGTTTTTGACCAAAGATCCCGAAGCTCAACGGCAGAAGACCCACTGGGAGCCTCTGTCGATTGCAGGACAAGGGCGACTCGCAGGTGTGGTGACGGGTGTGTTGGATGAAGATGACTGTGCCGAGCTCATCAGCTGCATCAATCGGAAAGGCTTCACCCCTGCGCTGCTGAACATCGGTGGTGGAAGACAAACTCTGGACCCCGTGGCACGGGATGGACATCGAGCGATTGTGGATAGTCCCGATCTCAGTGGTTGGCTCTTGGAAGTCTTGAGGCCTTACCTCCCGGAGACCTTCCAAAGAGGTCGCCTGGTGGACCTTAACGAGCGCTGTCGTGTGCTGTGCTACACCCCAGGCCAGGAGTTTCCAGCCCACTATGATGGCACCTTTCGACGTCCGAGACCGGATCCAAGGGCAGGAGATCGATCGATGGTAACCGTGCAGGTGTATCTTCATGATGTACCTGAAGCGAACGGAGGAGGTACCACCTTCATGAAAGATTCAGGTGAGGAAGTCTGCCGTTGCCAGCCCAAAGCCGGAAGTGTCTTGATCTTTTCGCAAAACTTGCTTCATGAAGGATCGCTACTGAAGCACGGGTTGAAATACACCTTGCGGACGGAGGCCATGTATAGAATGTAGCCATATCATCATGCTTATGGCATGCCATGGCCCAACACGGACAGCACTGCATGGCCAGCTGCTAAGCGAACATGGTGACTTCCCTAAACCCTAAACCCTTAACCCTAAACCCTAAACCACCATGGAAGAGCACCTACCGGTCCTGGAGATGTACAGTTTCCAGATGCTCAAAACAGAGATGTCCAATTGCTGTGGGCTGTGATGGGTGCCAGGAACAGCTGGAAGAACCCTAAACCCTAAACCCTAAACCCATGATGAAAGAATAGCATATGAAACGCCATGTGAGCAACCGTCAAAATTCGTGTTCATGTGTAGCCTTGGCCTATCTTGGCTTCTTGGAAGTGTGCAAAACCTGCATAACCGATTGGGGTATACGGGTATACCCTATTTGGTTATGATATATTCGACAAGCAAGTAATTTCGTCCGCCACTCATGTGAAGACGATGATATCTCAACATGGGTCGAGTTCGAGAAAGATGTTGAGTAACTTTGTGGGGTATCTGGCCTCCTAACAACCAGAGCAAGAAGCAATGACCAGTCCATAACCAGCGACAATCTGCCCACAACCAGCCACAAGCAGAACATAACCAGCCCGTAGCCTTCCCACAACTAGTAACACCTAGTAACTAGCCCAGTAGCCCAAGATTCAGTCTTGTTTTTAACTGATACTGCGCATTAGTAATTTCGGGTATCCGTACACCAGGGATAGCTCTCTTCAGGGAAACCCCCCCAGATTGGGAATCCCAAGAGTTCCAAGGTATGCGGACCTCCGCTTCGTCACGAACGAGCTGCGCACGCACCGTCAGGACTACTTTCAACCTGACTTGGACCAGCTCGAGGCGTGCAGAAACTCTGTGGTTGCTGAGGGTTGCACCATTCATCAGCTTGACCTCGTCCTGTGATTTTGGTGTTGGTGCTTAGGGCTGTTTAAGGGTACCCTAAACCCTAAACCCTAAACCCTAAACCCTAAACCCTAAACCCTAAACCCTAAACCCTAAACCCTAAACCCTAAACCCTACGGGCTTTGGTACGACTTGAGGCCTGAGGTTCAAAGGCCCGCGAGAGCGGAGCCTGGGCAGATGCTCTCAAAGCCCCTCAGCCTGAGCCCGAAAGCGCCCAAGCTCTAAACTCGAATCCTTGAGGGGTCCTAACTCCCCTCCCCTAAACCTCTAAACCCAAAAGCCCCCAAAACCCTGACCTCCCGAAACCCCAAGTCCCAAACCCCCTCCCTTAAGGGTCAGAAATCCCCCCTAAACCCCTTAAACCCCCTCAACCCTGAACCCCCCCCCAACCCTAAACCCTAAACCCTTAACCCTTAACCCTTAACCCCTAACCCCTAACCCCTAAACCCTAAAACCTAAACCCTAAACCCTAAACCCTAAACCCTAAACCCTAAACCCTAAACCCTAAACCCTAAACCCTAAACCCTAAACCCTAAACCCTAATACCCTAAACCCTAAACCCTAAACCCTAAACCCTAAACCCTAAACCCTAAACCCTAAACCCTAAACCCTAAACCCTAAACCCTAAACCCTAAACCCTAAACCCTAAACCCTAAACCCTAAACCCTAAACCCTAAACCCTAACCCTAAAGCCCCAAGTCCCAATCCCTTCTCGAAGTGCAGCTCTACCCCTGCCTCCTGCCAGATTGAGATTTCGGCACGGCACTCCTTCAAGGTGGGGATTTTTCGGCTCCGGGTTTTTGGGTTTAGGGTTTGGGGTTTAGGGTTTGGGGTTTAGGGTTTAGGGTTTAGGGTTTAGGGTTGATGATGTGTCGTTTTGGGGGAGATTTTTTAGGGGGTGTATGAGGGGTGGCTTTTGGGGTATATGAGGGTTTTGAGGCGCTGTTCGGGATTTGTTAGGGCTTTGGGGTTTTCAGGGTTTTTGGGGTTTCGGCGTTTAGGATTTATGAGGGTTCTGTGTTCGGGGATTTTTGGGTTATGTGTATACGGCTTCGACTCAGGGCCTAAAAGAGGTTTTTGAGGGCTGCTGAGGCTTCTAGTGCTTGTTAACTGTTGAAGTCGTCTTTGCTGTTCGGCTCCGTAGGCTGTTAAATGTTTCTGCGTGGGCACAGGGCCCTACAGGTTTCTTTCGAGCTGGTGACTGAAGGTTTCCTGGGCATGAGGATGAATTTCGTTCCCCAGTTCCTAGAGCCCAAACCCAAAACCTCAAACCCCATAACCTAAACCCTAAACCCGTCAGTTGTCAAGTTGATAATGTAAGAAAGCCACAAGGGCCCGTACTTTCCATCAACCTCCCATGTGGCCCTTATTCCCTTAGTAGTTGAGTGAGCATACTTTACACTTTTTGGGATACTATAATCCCCTATAGAACTGAAAGTGTACACTTTCTTGGGGCTAATGAACTCAGCAACTAAGTTCCTTGAAGACCTCAGCTCATCACCTTTCACGACCGATCACGCGCATCTTTACCCTCGAACCTCAGCTCTACCACTCTGGAACGGTCGGTCAGTTTCAGGTCTAGGGGTTTAGGCTGGCTTAGGGTTTAGGGTTTAGGGCTTCGAGCTTAGGGTTTCGGGTTTAGGGTTGAGGGTGCCCCAAATCTCATTTTCGGGCTCATGGTTCCTCAAGCAGTAAATCCCTAAACCCTAAACCCTAAACCCTAAACCCTAAACCCTAAACCCTAAACCCTAAACCCTAAACCCTAAACCCTAAACCCTAAACCCTAAACCCAACATAGTATGCCTTCCCCGGCCACGTCCTCGAAGGCTTTCTTGGCACACCCGAACGGCCCGGAGGTCCTCGAGGGGTTCCCAAACGCTGGAGCCCGAGACTTCCCTGCGTTGGGGCCTCTTGGGAAGGCGTTCCATTTGTGGGGTTTAGGGGTTTAGGGTTTAGGGTTTGGGGTTTAGGGTTTGAGTTTAGGGTTTAGGGTTTAGGGTTCCGGGTTTAGGGTTTAGGGTTTAGGGTTTAGGGTTTAGGGTTTAGGGTTTAGGGTTTAGGGCGGCTCTATTTGTCGGGTTTACGTGGGGTTGGGGGGGGGGTGTAGAGACTTTACGGTTTTGTTTTTTGTCAGTACGAGTGATGCTTTCGGGTTGTCTGGCGTCCGGGAGCTTCTTGGACCCAGCACCTGTGAATTTCGGATTCCCATCTCTGCCCCCCCGCAAAGCCGAGCCTTACCAAAATTTCAAAGAGCAGAACTCCCTAGACCATTGAACACAAAGGGAAGACCGAAACCCTATACACGGGACTCCCCAACGAGAGCCCAAGCTTCAAGTTTCAACCCCTACCGAAGCCCTTTCTGTAGCGGGTTCTGGCTCAAACCCTAAACCCTGATTTAGGAGTCTAGGCTGACCTGTGACTCCCACAAAATTAGTAGATTAGAACCCCCTGGATAGAGGGTATACCTCCCAAAAAATGGCAAGTACATGGAGCCTACAAACTCTAAACCCTGAACCCTAAACCCTAAAACCCTAAACCCTGAACCCTAAACCCTAAAACCCTGAACCCTAAACCCTAAGGCCCTAAACCCCAAACCCCATCCCTCTTCCAGCAGAAAGGCCTACGACCTTGCCTTAAAGAATGTGCAGCACTTACGGGTGCATCTCAAGGCGCGTTCTGCGGAGATTCGAAGGGCAGGATGTGAGGTTTAGAGCGGTTTAGGGTTTAGGGTTTAGGGTTTAGGGTTTAGGGTTTAGGGTTTAGGGTTTAGGGCTCTTCTTAAGGGATGGGTGTGGGGGGAAAGCAGCCAACAGCTTCATAAATTTGGGGCTTCGGAAGCGATGATCACCCCCGGCTTGCCATACTCCTGTCCTTTTGACCGCATGCGAAAGACAATCCCAAAGGGTCCTAAGTACCTGCATAGTAGAAAGTAGGGCTTCTATAATAGGAGTTACTATTATGGTTTGGGTAAGTGACCCCCATATAGGTACTTAGGATTCTTTGGGAATTACCATCTATCCGTATCATGGAAGCTGAGCGCTGCGTCTAAGGTCCCTTGCAAGCAGCCCAAGTTTTTGCAAGAGCTTGCTAGAGACATTGCCGGAATGCGTCTCGAAGAATGAGAGAGAGAAAGCATCGACCGCTTAGCGAGCACTCGAAGTTCATTGCGCACCAGGATTTCCTACAGAGCTTCCTGGCCGAAATGCTTCCCGTGAAGCGGGATGTTCGCGCCTTCGTCAGACACTTTGGCATGGAGGCGCGCCGCACGGTTCCGAGCAGAGTCATGCCTGAACCTGAAATCTATATCCCCAACTTGTTGGGAATTGTGTTTTCTTTTTGTTTATATCAAACCCAAGAGGATATTAAAGATAGTAGTTTTTATTAAGGTTTTAAGGGGAGTATAGAAATGTGTCAGACCCCCTGCACCCTGCACTTCCACCACATCGTTGAGTCAGCAGGAGCCAGAGCTCAAGACTCACATTGGGATTTAGGGTGTAGGGTTTGGGGTTGAAGGTTGAGGGTTGGGGGTTTAGGGTTTAGGGTTTAGGGTTTAGGGTTTAGGGTTTAGGGTTTAGGGTTTAGGGTTTAGGGTTTAGGGTTTAAACTCGGCACTCAGACGCTCGCCCCTGAAACTCTTCTGCGGAGCCCCAACGTTGAACTTCACGAGCCCCGAGCCCTGCACGCCTGAGCCCTTGAGTGCTCAACCCGCAAAGAAAGCAGAAGACAAAGGAAACAACACTAGGCACGCCCTTGGGACCGTTTTGTATTCCCCTTATTGGGTTTAAGAGGATCATGCTCAGGAATTTGGGTTTCTGAGGGTTTTAAGCGCCCTCCTAGAACATGTTCGGGTTACCCCCTTGCGCTGCCTATGAATATGAATGTCTCCGAAATGAGGGGTTCCTTCTTGGGATCCTTTTTCGGAAGATCTAGATATCAGGGGGGTCTATATAAGGGGTCCCCTGTTTTCGGACACCCCCAGATGAAGCAGGGTTCATATTACTGTTAGTGATGAGTGTATACAAGGTTCCTTTTTAATCCTGGTGAGTGTACATTTTTGGTGTCCTTTTGGGGATACAAGGAGTCCCTAAACCCTAAATCTAAACCCTCAACCCTAAACCCTACTTCATATGAGCCCCAAGTCACCTCCACACGTGGCAGAGAGCCAGGTGGGCCCCAACAAGACCAGCGCCAACCTGGCAGCTCGAGCCATTTTGGGCAGGGTTTAGGGTTTAGGGTTTAGGATTTAGGGTTTAGGGTTTAGGCTTTAGGCTTTAGGCTTTAGGCTTTAGGCTTTAGGCTTTAGGCTTTAGGCTTTAGGGTTTAGGGTTTAGGCTTTAGGCTTTAGGCTTTAGGCTTTAGGCTTTAGGCTTTAGGGTTTAGGGTTTAGGGTTTAGGGTTTAGGGTTTAGGGGGTGCAGGGTTGGCTTCAGGGAGGCTTCAGTGCTCTGTATCTGCAGCATGTGACAGCTCCCAGACTTCCGCAGTGACGTACTTGTTCAACACGCCTCTGCTTGCAGTGAGCAGACTGCTTCCATCACTTCCATCTGTCCTTGCATTGGTTTAGGGTTTAGGGTTTAGGGTTTAGGGTTTAGGGTTTAGGGTTTAGGGTTTAGGGTTTAGGGTTTAGGGTACATTTTTGGCGGGTAGTCGAAGTTGACAGTCACGGTGGGCACGGCATATTTCTCCAGCTTTGGGCTCTGGAGCTCGCTCTTCTTGCGGCAGCCTGCCATCGAGTCCATGTTTCACTGTCGGCAAGCCTGCACCCTTTAAGGAACATAAGTACAGCTACCATCCCATTGAACAATTCTTCGCCATAGAATCGGTTGCCTTATTCTCTGTGACTGCTCGCCCCCTAAACCCTCAAGCCCACGCGTCTGCAACTACGACCCTGTTCTTCTTGTATGAGACAGAAATGACACTTGCTGTCAATGACACTCGTTAAACCCTAAAGCCTAAAGCCTAAACCCTAAACCCTAAACCCTAAACCCTAAACCCTAAACCCTAAACCCTAAACATAACTAGTTATTTTACTGCGCGCTTCAGGATTTCGAGAGCAACGCCCCTCCCATGCCACAGCGCGAGACCCCGAGGCCGAACTGATGCGAAACCTCCTGGAGTTCACGGACCAAGTCCAGAAGCACTGGCAGGACGGTTTAGGGTTTAGGGTTTAGGGTTTAGGGTTTAGGGTTTAGGGTTTAGGGTTTAGGGTTTAGGGTTTAGGGTTTAGGGTTTAGGGTTTAGGGTTTAGGGTTTAGGGGGGCACCCTAAGCCCTAAACCTGAGTGGCCGGAGAGAGGTTACTCTACAGGATCAAGTGCGGAGATTGCGGCGCTTCTCATTCGGTACCGAAACCCTCTCTTGCTGGACTTGAGAGCGTTAGGGACTGGAATGAGCCGTTTTGCGGCCATGTGTATGAAACGCCCTGAACCCTCTCTTAACCCTGTTTGGAACCTGAGACGAATCCCTGATGAATCCTACAAGTAACCGAAACCAGCATCAGACCGTATTGTTTTGCATGTGCAGTTTTGTCCATCCACCGAAGGACGTGTTTGGTTCGTTTGCGTTCGGGGTCGCTAAGGTGCTTGAAGGGCAAGCCGAGTAGAAGTCCTCTCTGAGACATCCTTTGTCTTGGGCTGCTAGACACTGTTGTTGGGGGGGGGGGGGGGGGGTGGGGAGCGGGGTTTGGGGGTTCAGGGGTTTAGGGCTTTAAGGCCTGGTGTGCAGGTATTACCTGAACAAGGGCTCTTTGAATTCAGGTGCAGTCTAGGGGGTGGGGCTGGGCTCGGCGTTTAGTTGGGTTTCCGCTCGAGGGAGTTCTGACTTTGAGTTCGTGTTTAGGGTGTTTAGGGCTTCAAGGCGTAGTAGGTTCATCATTTCGAGGTGGTCCGTCGTTTGGCACAGAATGCAAGGCATCAGCCGTCCCCCACCATTGTCACTCCCAAAACCTAAATACTAAACCTCATGTGATGCGAACTTGATGACGACGAGCAAGACAAAGCGCACACGCGTTTCCGTGTTCAGAAATCTTTTGAAAGTCCCGGAGTGAGGGTCATGCCATGGTTGCGCCTTTGCAGTACTTTGATGCATCAAGCTGCGCTCATGGCCTTGTTGTTCTGCGTGGGCGCCAAAGTCCTGGACTTTCTGCCGCCTCAGGACGTGTGCGCAGATGCACGCCTCGTTGCACCTTGTGAGAGCCCGGACCTTGTACTGACAGCCTCCGGGCTGACGGACGAGAACGCAGTGACCGGCATTGCTCAGCTGACCCCATTGCGTACAGGCGCTCACGCAGCGAAGGTCGCAGCCATCTTTGACACTGCATGGTTCGTCACAGACATTGCGCTCAGCCCTGCCCTATCAGATGCGCTGCACATGGAGCTCCAAGCCGAGCCTGGCCTCGTGGATGCTGCAGGCTTGGCTGTGGAGACCCTTGTCCCGAACGTGAATGTCACGCTGGGCATCCAGGAGCTGGATGGTCGACACTTGAGCGTCTCCGTGGTTGCCGGGAGAGTGGGCAGGACCCACGCCTTGAATGGCTACATGGTCCTTATTGGACCGTCCTTAATGAAGAAGCTACACATCTCAATCCTCATGGACGAGAAGGGCCAGGCAGCAGTCCGCCGGTGTGAGCCAGCCGTGTCAGTCATGCGAACGGCGGGGGCACGGGTCACGACATGCACTTGCGCGGATAACACCTGCCAGGCCCCTAAACCCTAAACCCTAAACCCTAAACCCTAAACCCTAAACCCTAAACCCTAAACCCTAAACCCTAAACCCTAAACCCTAAACCCTAAACCCTAAACCCTAAACCCTAAACCTAAACCCTACAAACAAGCCAGGGAAGGTCCGAGCCACGAGGCGACGGAAGATCGGGAACTCTGAAGATCGCCACACGCGTCGTCTGGTCGTGCCCAAAATTGGAACCCTAAACCCTAAACCCTAAACCCTAAACCACGCTTGGACTTGTTTCGAAGTGTCGGAGTGCTTCTACAGGCTTTTGGTCGGTTGAACTACATCTACAATCTGTTCAGGGTTTGAAGCCCTGGACCCCCGAAGCCTCAACCTGAATCGGTTCTAAGTTTGGCAGCCCAAGATTTCCGGCGTACCCTACACCGCTTTATCCAGGTCCCTATAAGCCCGAAACCTAGACCTGGACGCCCTGGGCCCAAAGCCCCAAAGTGTCTTGTTTAGTGTCTGTGGTCCTTGGACTTGGGACTTCTTGTGTTTGCGGGCGGGGTTTAGGGTTTAGAGTTTAGGATTTCCAGGGCTCAAGGGTTCAGCGAGTCCAGGATTTAGGGTTTAGGGAGGTTGAGAGGGCTTAAGAGCTTTGCGGCTCTAGAGGAGTCGAGACAGGAAAGCCTTGAGCCCTAATCCCGAGAAAGCCGTGTCGCTTATTGGGAATCAGGAAGCCCGGCAGAAATTGGTCTTGAGCGCCGTAAAGCCAAAGAATACAAACACAACCATGGGCCGGAATCTTGAAGTAGCTTCTGTGTTGCATTGAATTTGCCCTAAACCCTAAACCCTAAACCCTAAACCCTAAACCCTAAACCCTAAACCCTAAACCCTAAACCCTAAACCCTAAACCCTAAACCCTAAACCCTAAACCCTAAACCCTAACAAAAGATTGGAGCGGCTGCTTCGGCACATCTCTCACACCTGAGGTTTAAGGGGATGGCTGCTTATCATTCATCTCGGCCCTCTAGGCCTCAGTTTCGCGACTGCAGCTCAACGACTGTCAACCACGTTTGCGAAGTTTGTTGTTCTTTGAGTTCTTGTGGAGTGGCTAAATACACCCTAAACCCTCTTTCTCTTTCTTCCACTCTCTCTCTCTCTCTCTATACATATGTATATATATATATATAAGCCTTTTATATACATATATGCTTATTTATTAATTGATTTATTTATTTGTTTATTTCTTTATTTATAATATAAACCGAATATATAACATATGACATATATATAACATATATAACATATATGTTCATTTATTTATTCATTTGTTATTTATAAATCGAATATATAACATATATAACATATACATATATACATATATATATATAGACCCCAAAGACCCTGGAAGCCCAAGAAGTGCAACCGGAAGGAGCTGCACGGCGACCGGAGGAAGCCGACCAAGTCTCCGAGGATGCACCGGAGGGTTTAGGGTTTAGGGTTTAGGGTTTGGGGTTTAGGGTTTGGGGTTTAGGGTTTAGGGTTTAGGGTTAGGGTGGTTTTCAACCCCCAAGGCCAGAGGCCTACAAACCCTAAAAAAAAAACCGAAAAGACCTAAAACGCCCTTAACCCTAATAAAGCCCTCTAAACATCTATAAACCCTCTGAACACTATGAACTTCAACTCTGGTTTCATGGGGCTCTTGGGGGCCAACGGCGGCGGTGGCTCTTGCACGCGCCCCAAACCCGCAGCCTTAAAGAGCCCTGTAGTTATATCTCCCTTGGGAATAATTTTCTATTTTTGTTTATATAAAAACCCAAGAGGATATTAAAAATATTATTGTTATTAAGGTTCTAAGGGGAGTATAGATAGAACCCCCAGAGTTTTTGGGAAGACAGCGCTTCTTGTTGCAGCGGGTTCTATGATGAGAAGGCAGCTGTACCCGGACGAAGTTTGGACATTCCCCGAATACAAGAAGCCTAAATATCCGTCCCAAAATAGTTTTACCAGAAACCTCTAAACCCCCAACAGTGAAGTCGCGGATATGGATTCATGCTGGAGGTAGTTCTAAGCGTTTCTGTCTCGATCATGAATTTGGCGGCTTTGGGTTGAGGGCTATCGAAACCCCCCAGGGTGGGCACCCAAAAGAGCCCACAACTCCGCGCAACCCCTACAAGAATCTACTCCTGAAAGGGGTTCAGGGTTTGGGGTACCCAAAAAGGGCCCCACAATTCCGCACAACCTCTACAATAATCTACTCCTTTTCGGGGGTTAGAGGTTTGGGTACCCAAAAAGAGCCCCCCCCCCCCCCACAACTCAGAACAACAACGAACGGTCTACATGTAGACAACGCCGCAGAACTTCACGCTCAGCGGGGGCCTCGCGCAGACTCTCCCGGAACCGCAGCTGCAAGAAGATGCCAATAGACCCCTGCTTGGGCTGAACCCCGAAACCAAAACCTTAAACCCTCAAGCCCTAAGACTTATAAGTAAACCCTAAACCCTAAACCCTAAACTCCAGAAACCCTGGAAGTCCTTCTGTTTTTGGATTCTTGTGAGTCAGGGCCTTGGTGTTGCGAGGGCTATCCTCCAGCTGCTTTGGGAGCAAGATCCGAACATCCTATTATCCTGATGAGCCTGCGCTATATCCCGCACTGCCCCAATCTTTTCTGGAAACTCTGCTGCCTAAACCCCTCAACTCCTGCAAGACTTACTTTGTCATAGTTGGGGAACGTTTTACATTTTTAAGGGTACTTAAACCCAAGAAGGAATGAAAAGTAGATTTTTGATATTATCCCAACAATGAACAAGCTTAGCAAAAAAAACCCTAAACCCTAAACCCTAAACCCTAAACCCTAAACCCTAAACCCTAAACCCTAAACCCTAACCCTAAACCCTAAACCCTAAACCCTAAACCCTAAACCCTAAACCCTAAACCCTAAACCCTAAACCCTAAACCCTAAACCCTAAACCCTAAACCCTAAACCCTAAACCCTAAACCCTAAACCCTAAACCCTAGCCACGCCGTGACTACGCCGGAGCCTCAAAAAGCCCAGGACCCTTGCACGCTCCTCCACCGAGGCTGGGGGGCTCCATCGATTCAGGGCTTTGGTTATCTTAAGCCTAGGGCCTCTTTTTTTGGAGGCTTATGTAGGGTTTGCTGGGTTTATGTTAGGGGTTTTGGGGTTTACATATTTCGAGATTGTTGAGGCTTGCGGTTTTTGGGCACTTTTCTCCACAGAACTCCAGATTGAGAACGTCATCTATCGGTCCAGGACACCATCCTCGAGGAGTGAGAGCATTCATGTCAGGGGGTGTGCGAAAAGAAGGAACCCCTAAGATTGACCCCCCTAAATTGCAGAACTCCCCGGTATACCCTGAACCCTAAACCCTAAACCCTAAACCCTAAACCCTAAAAACTAAACCCTAAACCCTAAACCCTAAACCCGAAGAAGGGCCCCAAGAAGCTATCCCCTAAGTTCGGAAACCCCCCCAATGTGATGCCTCTTTCACAGCATCTCAACGCTGGATCCGACCGCGCGAGAGGCCCGCGAATCCAGCAAAAGAGCGCCCGTGAAGGGTTCAGGGTTTTTAGGGTTTAGGGTTTAGGGTTTAGGGCTCAGGGCTTAGGGTTTAGGGTTTAGGGTTCCGAGTTGCTTGGAAACCCATCCGCCAGCTGAGCCTCAATGAATGCCCGGGACAGATTCAGCAACCAACTCTAGACCCAACACCAAAAAAGTCCCTAAACCCTAAACCCTAAACCCTAAACCCTAAACCAAAAAAGGGCAAACGAAGAGCCAGGGTGGCAGGGTTCGGAGGTGCAGCTCTTGGGTTTTCAAAGTGGATCGGGATGGAGATCCAAGAGGAAGCACACCCATGAAGCTTCGTAGGATGCGCATCGAGAGGCAGCACATATCTTTGTGGTGCTTTACTGTAACTTTACATCCTTAGCCTTTTTGGGTTTATTGGGTTTTAGGCAGCGAAAAGTTTAATTTAAAAAGCCACCCTCCTAAGTGCAGCCAAGATATAGGGGTCCCTTGTTTCGCAAACTCGCAAACTACCACAATATATGGGCCAGCATAGGCGCACACCCCCCCCCCCCCCCCCCCCCCCTGGTATCCCCCACCCCCGCCCTGTGGTTCATGGTGGGTTTTGGGTTACCCCCCCCACTCTTGTGGTTCATGGTCTGTGGTTCATGGGTTTCGGGTTGGGCTGTCGAGTTCAGGATGTCACTCTGGTCCATTCATTCACTCTGGGTTTGGAGTTTGTAGGGTTCAAGGTTTGGGGTAATGGTAGGTTTACGGTTTCCCCTCTCCCCCCTGTGGTTCAAGGTTTTACGGTTCAGGGTTCAGGGTTAAAGCGGCTAAGGTTTCGGGTTTAGGCTGAGGTTTCTCTGTCCCCCCCCCCCCCCCCCCCCGCGTGGTCAGTGGTGTGTTTTAGGGTCAAGACAGGCAGGTTTGGGGGGGGGGGGGGGGTCGATTACGCGGAAGGAATGCGGGCGCATAAAGGTGTCGGAACAATTACTACTCAGCTCTTAAGTGGCAACTTTTAAACTTTTTTCTGAAAGGGGTGGGCTGGCTCAAAAAAAGGCTCTATAGATCCCTACAGGCCCTACACCCTACCCCCCCGAGCCCTAAGTCCTAAACCCTGAACCGAACCTTACAGGCCCAGGCCCTGAAAACCCAAAACCCTAAAACCTCAACCCCAAAACCCTAAACCGAACCATAAACCTTAAAACAACCCTAAACCCTTCCTGTCATGTTCGGCGGCCGCTGCCAACTTCAGGCACCACGAGGCACCAGGGTTTAGGGCTGTGGGGTTTATAGGGTTTAGGGCGCGTGGTTGCCGATCAGGCAGCTGCCGGGGGGTGTGGTGACCGTTCAGGTCGCTGCCCTCCCTAGGGGTTTAGGTTTTCCAGGGGTTCTAGGGTCTTAGCCCTAACCCCCCCAAGCAGTAGCCCAATAGCCCCAAGCCGAATATAAGCCAAACCCTAAGCCCTAAACCCTTAACCCCTTAACCCCTAAGGGTACTTAGCTAAGTGGCGGCACCACTTAGACAAGTGTTAGGGTACGCTTATAATGTCCACTTAGCACACTTATAACTGCACTTATAACTGTGCTAAGTGCCCTAAGTACTTAGTAACTGCCGTGCGCCTCGAAGTAAACCCTAAACTCTAAACCCTAAATCCTGTGCCCCAGATCAGGCCACCAAACGCACACCCTATAGCTGGAACTAGTAGAATTGTGAGGGTTGGGGTTTAGGGCATAGGGAACTTTAAAAAATAAAAACTAAGCCCGAAACCTTAACTCTAAGGCTATGATTCAGGGTATGTTTCGGGGTATGTTTGGCAGGCGGTCACTCAAGCTTAGAGCATGCCATTGCTGGAAACATCCTTTTTTCCCCCGCCCCCCCCCCCCCCCACCCCCCACCCCCCGCCACAAATCTTAGGACTTGTGGTTGTCTAGACCCAGGAGTATCCTAGGTATAAAAAGGGTACCTATTTAATTTTGGTTGAGTTATAAGGGAGCCTAAACTCTAAATAAAGGGAATAATACTCCTGGTCCAAGTTGTTAAGGGCTTCTCCTAACAGACCGTGACAGCCCAAGACCCCCACAAGCGGACCTTAACCGCGCCATCCTGCGCTGGGGGCGAAGAGCTCCGCCACGATGTAGCTGCGGCACTGCCGAGGGAGTTTAGGGTTTCGGGTTAGGGTTTAGGGTGTCGGGGTTTGGGTCCCTAAACCCTGGCCCTAAACCCTTAATTTAATGAAACTCTGAACGGGTTTAGGGTTTAGAGTTAAGGGTTAAGGGTTTAGGGTTTAGGGTTCAGGGTTCAGGGTTCAGGGTTTAGAGTTTAGGGTTTAGGGGTTTAGGGGTTTAGGGGTTTAGGGTTTAGGCTTTAGGGTTTAGGGTTTAGGCTTTAGGGTTTAGGGTTCAGGGTTTAGGGTTTAGGGGTTTAGGGTTTAGGGGTTAGGGTTTTAGGGTTTAGGGTTGAGGGTTGAGGGTTCAGGGTTTTGGGTGTAGGGTTTAGGGTTTAGACCTCCCCTCAATGCCTGAGACCCTAAGACCCCAAGCCCGACAAAACCCGACAAAACTCCGGACACAAGCCCTATACTATTTTCTTGAAACCCTATAAGCCAAAAACCCTAAACCCTAGACTCTGTCAGATCCGATCAGCCCGCGCCAGCGCGACCTCCGAAGGAGCGGTTTGGGTTTGGGGTTTAAGGTCTAGGGTTTCAGGGTCACAGGGTTATGTACGGGTTGCACGCCCCTTCGTTTAATTAGGGGTTCAGGGTCTTTGGCCTTCAGGGTTTAGAGGCGTTCGGGGTTAGGGTCTAGGGTTTCAGGGTCACATTTTCACCCAATGCCTCACAGGCGCAAGCCCGGCCCCTAAACCAAAAACCTTAAACTTCCCGTGCTCGAAAACCCCAAGCCCCAAACTGCAGACTTCCTCCCTGGGTTGGGTTTCCGGTTTCAGGGTTTGGCGCCCGCCTAATTATAAATATGTTCCGGCCCGGGCGAATTTCAGAATTAGGGGGGTAATTTTGGTATGAGGGGGGAAGGAATCTTGACGTTATATGGGCTTATATGCAGGCTTCACTCAGGCTTGACTCAGACATTGCAGAAACAGGGCCCAAGCTCGTGGCACACGCGGGACTGTTGCATTCCCTGACTACCCTAAACCCTAAACCTAAATTAACCCTAAACCCTAAACCCCCAACCCTAAACCCTCAACCCTAAACCCTACCCTAAACCCTCAACTTAACCCTTCTAAGTCTATTCGCTTGCAGGCAGCCCAAATTAGGGTATAGAGTTTAGGCTGTACTTTGCTTCGCGGGGCTTCAGAGTCTTGAGTTTAGGGTTGGGTTTATAGAGGTGTAGGTATCTTAGACCCATAGGGTTTAGGGTTTAGGCCCAACTCATGAAGCCCGGATTGTAGGGACCCTCTACTGGGTTAAGTTTCACCCCATGCCTCACAAGCGCAAGCCCTCGAAGCGCAAAGAGCACCAGAAATCGCGGCCTGGGTCACAGCTCCGCAGTGCGGGCCACCGCGACCTTGTGCCTTGGCATTTGATGTGGGAACTTTTTTTTAACAATAGGGTTTAGGGTTTAAAGGGTTTAGGGGTTTAGGGGGGTGTAGGGTTCGCTTCAGCTGAGGCGCAAGCGGTCCAGGAGCGCGAAGCTGCTCAGGCCGCTGGGCCTGAAATCTTTGGCTTAGGCTTTAAATTTAGGGTTTAGGGTTTATGGGTTTAGGGTTTATGGGTTTAGGGTTTCGCTTAAACCCTAAACCCTAAACCCTAAACCCTGAAACCCTTAAACCCTAAACCGTAAACCCTAAACCATTTAGGGCTTAAGCCTTCTTAATAGTCATAGCCATAGCACTCACCCCACCAGGCACTTTTTTTGGAGGCAGCCGAGCAGAACGAGCAGGCCGAGCAGCGCAAGAGAGACACGGAGCAAGCAGAAGCAAGGGTACGGCAAATGCAGCAGGAGCAACAGCAGGAACAGCTGCAGCAACAACAGCAGCAGAACGATCGGATCCAACAACAACTGCAGCAACAACAGCAGCAGACAAAACAGCAGACAGAGCAGCTCCAGCGGGAAATTCTGAGACTCTCGAGCGACCTCTCCAAGCAGAAGCAGCAGATGGAAGAGAAGGAGCAGGTTCCTATAAGGGAAATTTTAGTAAAAGGGTTTAGGGTTTAGTTTAGGGCTACAGTGTACCCTAAACCCTAAACCTTAAACCCTAAACCCTAAACCCTAAACCCTAAACCCTAAACCCTAAACCCTAAACCCTAAACCCTAAACCCTAAACCCTAAACCCTAAACCCTAAACCCTAAACCTTACAGGTGGTGGCCAATGCTCGGCGTGCAAACGCACGCCGTGACGCCGAGCAAGAGGCTGCAGAGCGCAGACGTCAAGAGGAAGCTCTGCATGCACGCCAGGTGCAGTTGGAAGCACGAGGGCGAGTGCCTGGGTCTCAATAATAAACTGGGCTTTGGAGTACTATACTTTAATACTTTTTTGGGTTCTGGGTTCCTTATATAGCTACTTATACCAAAAAAGTATATGCTTTTTTCCAGGGTCTACTCCAAAGCTAAGTAAACCACCCCCAGAGAGTCCCTATTAGACCTATTAAGGCCGGGGGGAGGGGGGATTGAATCGTCCCTCAACATGTAGTTGTCCTGTTGTGAGTGTGAGTGTGAGGGTGTTTAGGTGGACATAAAACCCGAAGACAGCCGTTAATGCTGTGGTATAAGGTATTAGGGCTAAAGCCTAAACCCGAAACCCGAAA